ATTATTATTATCTTTTGAGAAAGATTGTCTCTTTGTTGCCCTCAGTTGAGTGTTGTGGTGGCCTCATAGCTCACAGCAACCTTAAACTCTTGGGCTCAAGCAATTCTCTTGCCTCAGCCTCCCAAATAGCTGGGGCTACAGGCGCCTGCCACAATGCCTGGCTACTTTTAGAGACAGGGGTCTTGCTCTGACTCAGGCTGGTCTCGAACCTGTTGAGCTCAGGCCTGCCTCAGTCTCCCAGAGTGCTAGGATTACAGGCATGCGCCACCTCGCCTGGCCACAATTTTGTTTCTTGAGGAAACTGGGTATTTGCCCTGTAGACACAGTCTGGGTTTTGCTGACTACATTCTCACAGGTTATTTTATGATGTTCCTCTGTTTCCTGTATTTCTCAAAAACTGGTAATGAGGGTCGAGTTGCTTACTAGAAGATAGCAAGTGGACAGGTGGAGGTAAGGTTGGGAGACAGGAGTGAGGGGCGGGAGATAAATAATAGAGAGGGTTCAAAGCTGTGATTCCAAATGAGATCGCTGAGGGCACGAGAAGAGCCAGGTAAGAGGAACATTGGAAGGCCTGAGCCCGGGGCCCTCCCCCGTGTAGAGCCAGGGAGATGAGGAGGTAACAGGGAAAGAGGGGATACACATCCAGCAAGGTAAGAGGGGATGGTTGGGACAGTGACTTGAAGCCAGGAAAGAAGACATACAAAGAGGGGAGTGATCCCTTGTGTCAAATGTGACTCAAGTCAGTGAAAGGAGGACTGAAAACTTATCACTGGGTTTGGCATAGGGGATGTCACTGGTGACCTTGACACAGCTGGTTGGCTAGAGCAGTGAAAGGCTGGCTGGAGTAAGATGAGAAGAACTGAAGACAAGGCGTAAAGACAACTTTTTCAAGAGGTTTTGCCACAAAGGAGAGCCGGAAAGGAGGTGATAAGTAGAGGGGGGTGTGAGCCTGAGGGACAATTTATTTCCAAGATGGATCCATCACAGCATATGGTTGTCCCCTGTGGCCAACCTTGATCTGAAAATATTAAATAGAAAATTCCAGAAATAAACAACTCATCAGTTTTAAATCTCTCGCCGTTCCTCACCTCCCACTCCATCTTGCCCAGGGTGTGAATCATCCCTTTGTCCAGCAGATACATGCTGTAGGTGCCGCCTGCCCCACAGTCCTGGCATCATCTGCTCCCAACTTGTAGGCAGACACTGAAGCGACTCGATGATCTAGGATCACTGAAGCCAATGATCCACCTCCCAACAAGTCTTTTTTTTTTTAAGAGACAGATTCTCGCTTTGTCACTCTTGGTAGAGAGCTGTGGTATCACAGCTCACAGCAACTTCCAGCTCTTGGGCTTAGGCAATTCTCTTGCCTCAGTCTCCCAAGTAGCTGGGACTACAGGCGCCTGCCACAACGCCCGGCTATTTTTTTGTTGCAGTTTGGCCGGGGCCAGGTTTGAACCTGCCACCCTTGGTATATGGGGCCGGCACCCTACTCACTGAGCCACAGGCACCGCCCTCCAACAAGTGTTTATAAGGTCGCAAGGCCTATGTGGCTCACCTGCTTCATCTTGCCACACAGGGATTTTATCATCTTACATCATCTCAAGAAGGGTGAGTATAGTACAGGGAGATATTGAGAGAAAGAGAAACCACATTCATATAACTTTTATTACAGTATATTATTATAGTTGTTCCAATTATTTATTGTTCTTAGTCTCTTACTGTACCTACCCTGTAAATCAAACTTTATCACAGGTATGTATGCATCAGAAAAATATAGTGGACTGGGCGCGGTGGTGTATGCCTGTAATCTTAGGTGACTTGACATAGCTGGTTGGCTAGAACCCACTGGAGGCCGAGGTGGGTGGTTTGCCTGAGCTCACAGGTTTGAGACCAGTCTGAGCCAGAGTAAGACCTCGTCTCCAAAAAAAAAATAGATGGGCACTGTGGCAGGTGCCTGTAGTCAGTTACTCAGGAGGCTGAGGCAAGAGAATCACTTGAGCCCAAGAGTTTGAGGTTGCTATGAGCTATGACGTTACAGCACTCTACCCAGGGTGACAAAGTGTGACTGTCTCCAACAAAACAAAACAAAAAACCTCCCACTATCTTGAATTCTTTCAGCTAGTTCAGAAGTATCTGAAACATCAGATGCCCTTAACTAGAGCTGGGCTCAGTGGTTCATTTCTATCACTCTAGGCACTTTGGGAAGCCCAGGCAGGGAGATCCCATGAGGCCAGGAGTTCAAGACCAGTCTGGGCTACATTAAGAAAGAACTGTATATATTTTTGAGTGAAAGAGAACATATGATAAAACCACGTAATTTATATTATAAATACAATTTTAGAGGTGGAAAGAATGTACATTAAAATGTTAAAAATGGGCTCGGCGCCTGTGGCTCAAGCGGCTAAGGCGCCAGCTACATACACCTAAGGTGGCGGGTTCGAATCCCCAGCCCGGGCCTGCCAAACAACAATGATGGCTGCAACCAAAAAAAA